ACAAGCCAAACTGTCAAGTCCTTCATCAACAGGAAATTATCATGTGCTTGTTGAAAAACACACATGGCCTCTTCATGCACAGGAGACTCTTGCACAGCTGGCCGTGCTGTCGTGTGCCCTTTCTCCGGCCAGGAAGCAATGGGCCTGACTGAGCCCCGTGAGGACCCACTGCTGTGTCTGCTTGTTTCATTGCAGGGAAGATGAGAAGTGGGGGGAGGGGGGTTGATTAATGAGATCTCTTTGACCCTTAATTATTGTTTTCACATGTTAGTCTCCATCAGCCTTTTCTTTTCAACAGCACAAGGGAAAAATTAAAACAACAACAACAACAACAAAACAAAAGAACTGTCTTCTAATATGAGGTGAATACAGACGCCCCGGAAGCTCAGGAGCCAGCCAGATTGGCATGTGCAGTGAGCAAGAGTCCTCTCAAAGCAAAACCAGGGCCCAAGGTGGTCCTCTGACTACCCCCGCACACTCAAAAGAGGTTGGACTAGTTGCTCTCTAAGACTCCTCCCCACCCTAATAGATTGCATAATATATAAAGATGATTCTGACTCTTTCTAAATTCTAGAGGAAGAACTCTTTCTGAGAATTCGTGCAAAGCAATCAAAACAACAAAACACCTCTGTCTTCAAGCCATGTTGGGCTCAGGGGTGAAAAAAAATGACTAAAAATATTTTTTACACACTGCAGAGTGTGAGGTGTCTGACACTGTTGTCTTCTGACCACGCTTTGACGGCCTGAGTCACCACGGGGACGGCCTAGACATGCTTTCATGCCATTACTTCCTCTGGCTCAACAAGTTAGAAGCAAGATGCGTGGGGATGTCAAGACCCAGCCCTCCTCACTCTCCTCCCTCCAGCTCTGCTCTGCTTCGCCTCCCCCACCCTACTCTACCTTCTTCTGCTGGCTGAGCCCCCGACCAGAGCGGTTCGTATGCTTTCTGTAGAAGAGTAAGTGTCTTAGCAGGTGTTGTGAAAGTCATTTGAATTTTAGCATAGTGAATTGTTAAATATTATGATCTGCCCGCTTGCTCAAAACTCTCATTCCATGAACTGTACATTAGGAAATCTAGCTCCATGTGTTCATGGGGAATTGATATCAGACTATATGTACACACTAGGACCAAGTTTGTTAGGCTTTTCCCAAATCATCCCAGAAAGATGAGTTTCTCCAAGTCCAAAGGAATCATAGAAAAACAGCAACCTTCCCCTGGCTTCCATCTTTAACTATCTTTATTCTAACTGCAGTTCTTGGTTAATGACCCATAGATACATGTGCTCTACATGACCAGGAAGCCATGTCTTATATCTCACTTCAAAGCAGAAGGTCTGCTGGAATGTTGCTCATGTAGCGAGTCTGTCTAGAGTGCATACCTAGCAAATATCTCCATTCTCTCCTGTGCACCTATTTCCTAGCCAGCTAATTAGCTGTCTTCTCTCCAGACCTGTCTATCTCCCTACATACTTACCTGTTATCAACCTAGAAATATCCAGTATCTTTTCTTTAGATCTATCTACTTCTTTATCTGTCTCTATTACCTACCTGTAATCTACCTTTATACAAATACATTTTCTGGGTTCTAATAAAATACAAAGCCCTCGGAAAAAGATTCCCATGCAGTCATTTATTTTGGAAGCAATTCTAAAAACCTAAGTGGGAAACTAGAAAGAATGAAACAAATTGAGAGAGAGAGAGAGAGAGAGAAAGAGAGAGAGAGAGAGAGAGAGAGAGAGAGAGACCAAGCCAATCTGAACTTACACCAGCAAGCCAGGCATTCCTGTAGACATCTAGAATGGAAGCCCTCTGGTGACCCTCATACGGCTCCGAAGAACTGTCCATGGAGAGAAAGAAGGGAGAACTGCCAAGGGAGAGAAGGAAGGGAGAACTGCCAAGGGAGAGAAGGAAGGGTCTATAGGAACCACAGAGTGTTCGCTCCTTCAACTTAGGAGTTTCCTATGAAGAGGGATGGCTGAGTGGGCCTCTGGGGGCAGCCCAGAAGTGGACAAGGCAGGCCTGGGAGGAGCACAGAGTCCAGGTGAGACACTGTCAGTTACATCTGGCTTCCACTGGTGAGTTTATAAGATGGAGGACAAGAGCTGGCCAACAGGATTATTCTTGTCCTGACCGTTGCCAGTACGTTAGCTCTAGACAGAAAGCATACGAACCGCTCTGGTCGGGGGCTCAGCCAGCAGAAGAAGGTAGAGTAGGGTGGGGGAGGCGAAGCAGAACAGAGCTGGAGGGAGGAGAGTGAGGAGGGCTGGGTCTTGACATCCCCACGCATCTTGCTTCTAACTTGTTGAGCCAGAGGAAGTAATGGCATGAAAGCATGTCTAGGCCGTCCCCGTGGTGACTCAGGCCGTCAAAGCGTGGTCAGAAGACAACAGTGTCAGACACCTCACACACTGCAGTGTGTAAAAAATATTTTTAGTCATTTTTTTTCACCCCTGAGCCCAACATGGCTTGAAGACAGAGGTGTTTTGTTGTTTTGATTGCTTTGCACGAATTCTCAGAAAGAGTTCTTCCTCTAGAATTTAGAAAGAGTCAGAATCATCTTTATATATTATGCAATCTATTAGGGTGGGGAGGAGTCTTAGAGAGCAACTAGTCCAACCTCTTTTGAGTGTGCGGGGGTAGTCAGAGGACCACCTTGGGCCCTGGTTTTGCTTTGAGAGGACTCTTGCTCACTGCACATGCCAATCTGGCTGGCTCCCGAGCTCCCGAGCTCCCGGGGCGTCTGTGTCCGCCCTCTGAGTGCTGCTGTCACAGGTTAGCTATGGCCACACGCACACCCTGTGTCGGGCCCTCACACCTGCCTGGGAAGCAGCTAAGCCACCCTCACCCTCTTTTTCTCAGACGCTTAACATGAGGTAATAACAGCATCTTTGGGGCCAAGCTGAGCTCCACAGCAGTGTCTCTCCCGGTTGCGGTCGATCGTTCGTGCTCAACAGGGTGGAATCCCATCTGACATGGGGGTTCATTCTGGAATGTGAACTAAAGCAGATTCTTTGCTCTTTTCCCATTGAAATCTGAGAACTAATTACTGCTTAATTATTTCCAAGAATTGCAAGGGGACAGGACGGTTGGCTTTCTCCTCCCCCTATGCTTTCTACCAACATTAGCACCCGATGTGTTGTCCAGTTCCAGCTCTCTTAAGAGCTAGGAACGAAAGATCTAGACTTCATAACAAAGTAGCTGAGGTTGTGATGGAGAATTTGAGATCGTTCAGGCCGTGGACAGGGAAACAGGGTTTCCTTAGGTAGCAAGGGCCACCACCTATCTCCAGATCCAGGACATTTGCCTATTTGGTTAATTGCAATGCTTCACAAAATAAAGCCCATTTTAAGGAGGCCTCTTCTCTTCTGAGGGAATGTAATGCAGCTGTTGAGAATGTTGGCAGAAATGTCTGGAATGTTTGCAGCTGATGCTCCTTTGAGATGGTGCCTGAGCCTCCAAGGGTACTTACTCCTGTCCCTTGGGATTTCACTCAGGTTCTAAGCTGCACTTGGGACACATTTAGTTTGACATTCTCTGTCTGCTGGAACCCCAGTGGCCACCCTCTTCTTACGCATACCCTGAGCTCATCGTCCTTCCTCACCACGGACCAAGAACACTGAGGGGCCCAACGAGGTGTCTTGCCCCTTAAACTAACCATGTTATCCACCAAGACGCAGAACTGTGACAGATGCTCATGAGCTTCAGTTACCTGCCCCGCCCCCGCCCCATTCCCCAGTAACCAGAGCCTCTGATTAACGGTCAGGTATACTTTCGTGGTAAGCATGAAGGAAGCCACCCACCACGGGTATAAAAATGAGCCATGAGCCCAGGCTTATTTACTCATGACACGCCTACATCTCTCACTAAATATTAGGATGACTGGCCAGTCCATGAGCGAAGATGCCTTCCGTCCTGTATACGTCCTCAGACCATTCCTTAAATTCAGCGGAAGCCTATTATTTCAGGAGCAATGATTTCCAAACCGATGAGTGTTTCACGTCCGCTGCTGCAGGGAGCATACGCGGTTACCTACTGTGTGCAGGAGAAGGCGAAACAAAACGGCGTGCGCACTGAATGGAAAGCCACTTTCGCTGGGGACGCTAAAAAAGGGGCCTATTTACCTTAATATTGTCCAGAGAGGCCTAGGCACCCTTAAACAAAACCGGTAAGTGGGTCACATAAAAGAAGGTCTTCACCTATAAAGAGCTATTGAATAAAAATGAAGATGGAAATGATTAGTGAATGCTTCATTTGCACAATGGCTTCTTATATAGCACAATTAAAGGAAACACTGGGTCACTTTAAGTGTTAGACTGAAGTAGCTCACAATCTTTGACATAGGCAAAGGACATTGTAAGAGTGCAAGTTATGAGCAAGGCTGAACCTTCTTATCTGCAGTTTTATGGGTTCTTATCAGTTGCCCTGGGCTCACAGGAAGGTCTCATAGATGGAACTTCAAGATGAATTTTGAAAAATTATTTCCAGTAGTCACTATGAATTTCATTTCCCTCTTCTGGCCTCAGGTAATTTCTCAGGCACCTTTCCTTGATTGACAAACCATGACTCCTTGCACTTATATAGAATAAATTTAGGTTGGAGAATATACTATTTCCCCTCATTAGAATGTTCTAGTTGTTGAACTTCATTAAGACAAATAGATTCATCTGTATTTTCACTCCCTTTGGCTATGAGGTCAATAAAATGTCAGGCAAGAGAAGGTAAGGATGCGAAACCCTTTGAAACGTACCTAATGTCAGGCAGGAGCCAGCTGCCGTGGTCCTGCCAGGCATATTAGCTCTCAGCCTTAATAGACATTAGTGGCTTGCACAACAGCCTCAGCTGTTCCAAACTCACACTCTGCAGGAGTTGTGCTAGCAAAGGACATTTCAGAAACCCTGGAATACAGTGAAAAGAAAACAACAGAACAAAGAAAGGTAACAAAACACCGAGGCTTCACGAGTAGTCAAGGATGGCAACCAAGAAAGAAAAAGAAGCCAGAGTATAGCCAACCTTTTTCTTTAATTAGAGTATATTATACTTCCAAACTCGGTACACTAGAAATTGGCAATGCAACGTAAGATGCAAAGGAAAATACCAGTTACTGTCAAAATGACCCTGTACAGCCTTGTAATGCAAAAGCTTTATACAATACAAATTCTCAGTAATGTACATAAACCTTGACAGTATGATCATCTGAACATGAGGAATAAAAAAACAAAAGAAAAGAAAGAATGAAAAGAAAGGACAGGGGAAAGAAAGTGCCGAGAACCCTAACTGCATTACTCTACGGGAAACCAAGCCAGCGTTCATGGAAGAATGCGGAGTGGAACTGAAAGTTGCTAGTGGAGTTACTAAAAGATGTTAGTGTTTTTCATGGGAAGGACATCTGTAGAATCCATCCTTCCCGGAGCATCTGACTGCAAACCGGATTCAGGGGCACATTTTATCCATGTGGACTCTGAAAAATGCTGTAGATTTTCTTCTTTATTAATAACAACAATAATAATATAAAAAGTCAAATAAACTGCAAACACATGTTTTCTCACTCAGAAAACTTTTTATAATTTACCAGAAAGATTGATGACTCTTTCCAAAGTGCTAAAAAAGTTGCCCAATTACATTAAGCATTACTAAGTCATTCAAATACAGGTTCAGTGGCAAGCAGTGAAATGCATGGCATCTGAGCAGCAAACGTCTCCGGCCACCTCCCCTCTCTCACGTCCCCACCCAAAGACCTCTGACTGCACACGTGGCATGCTGAAAAACCCGGGTCCTCGTGACCAGAGTCACCAATCAGGTTCTTAACCTGTCGGTGCATCTGTGAATCACCTTTCTGTCAACCTTTGAGGGATCAAAGCAGCTCCTTGCCTGTTATCACTGAACCTGCGGTTTTGAAAACACATTATTAGCCAAGTGGCACATTCTCCATTAAATGGGAATAAAGACACGACTCTAAAACAAAAAACAAAAGCAAATAAGAAAACAACGAACCCACCCATAAAGCCAGTGACCTTGGGGCACACTGTCCAGAACTATCTATAGTGTCTTTGCCGAGACATCGACATGGTGAATCGAACATGTTAAACAAGGCCAAGAGCAAAGGTCTCTGCTGGAGAATGACAGGCTCTGGGGCCTTCCTGGCCAAGCTGGTTCTCCCTGCTTTGCGGACATCTCTGTAGTGTAAACTCCTTTGCCAGGGCACTAACCAGGCTCCTCACCCATGGCTGGGCGTGGGGTGTGGGGAGGGAAGCAGAGACCTGCCAGGTCGGGAGAGAGGAACAATGATGCGGAATGTGGGCTCTCGGGCTTCCAGTCAGACTGCATGAATTTCAATGAAGCAATCTGGACTAGAGAAAATCAGGGATGCTTTTATTTCCCCCTGGTTAAAGGAACGACAACAAAAAGGAGGGCATTATCCCACGTGGAGGATGGGACAGTGTGAGAAAATGGCACCGGTTGGAAGGCATTCCTCCTGGACACCAGCTCTTCCACTGATAAATAATATAGAAACTTTTGTATTCCAAACTTCCCATTTTTTCACAGAGCACATTTCTTCCTGCTCTTTCAGCCTGCTGCATACTGGAAACTCTGCTGTCTCACAAATGCAAGCAGTGGACACAGTCAGCCAAATTCCTTTTCCTTTTCAAACCATCCATTACTTTTTAAGATGGGCAAAGGGCTACGCAACCGGATCATACCTGCTCTTGCTGCAATAAAGTGCTGCACACAAACTGCCATTTTAACGACCACAGAATAAGAGCTTTAAATAAGTATAAAGTGAGCCTCCTAGCAGGTCCCATCTGCTAGGCGTTAACAAAATGGAATACGGGGTTACTAACACATAGCGGGTGCGCTCTAGCCAGAGGCTCTGCAAACAGTGGGGACTCCTGGGCCATCAGCTGAGGCTTAGGACTAAACAGCACCTTTTGTTGTGTCCTTCCGTATACGTCAGAGAGGTCGTGGCTAAAATTTCAAACATACAGTCTACTCATTCCATAAAAAGGTCATTTCCTTCCTTCTCTTCTACTTATTCCTTTTCCCCCATGAGGAACAAAACTAGTGCAAGACCAACACACTGTGCAAAGCTGCCGTTTCTTTTTAGTCTGAGCTTTTACACCCAGAGTTGATCCAAACCCCTTAATCTCCTTGGCTGGATTTATCAACCATAACAATTTCCACTCATACAAATTTCTCCTGCAAACAATGAGAACAACTGAATCAATAGACCACACACACACATATTCTGCCCTTTAAAAAGGATAAATTCCCGTGTGTGTGTGTGTGTGTGTGTGTGTGTGTGTGTGTGTGTGAGCTGAACACCTTGTCTTCATGTGGGCACACGCACAGAACCCCCGGTTCTGTGATGTCAGCTGCAGAGCTTTGAGGCATTTCTGAAGAGATCTGTCTCCTGATTTTCTTGTTCACCCTCCTAAGTGGAGATCTGAGCTCCAGACACTCTACTGGAAATACCCTGGCACCCCGCAGACCTTCATCCACTAGGCACCAGGCCCTCCCACTCTGCAGCCATCAGTGACAGGGGGAAGGCCGTGGAGGGGTGGGACCCTGCAGTGAGCAAACAGTCCAGGCGGAATCAAGAATGTTCATCACTGTCAATGAGGCCAGTACAGAAAGAACGTGCAATAGAAATGTCATGTCATACACCGTACACACATACCCTCTCTCTCCCCCTCTCTCTCTCTCTCTCTCTCTCTCTCTCTCTCGCAATCCACAAATGCCCACAAGAGCCCACTCACCCGACAGAAAACCCACTGTACCAGTAGAGAAGCTTCCAAATGCTGACTGTGATTAAGGACACTCTCTTTAGGGGTTGACATGACAAAATTCCTTTCAGAGAGGAGTGGGGAAGGGAGAGTGGGAGTGATGGCTGGGAGGCATGCCTCTGAAGGTAGAAGTAGGCAGCAGATCACCTCTCTGGAGATTGGATAAAGCAGCTTTCAGGTAAATGCAATAGGCATACATACAGAGCCAGTTTTCTATTCCTTACTAAAGATACACAGTACATGTGTCCAGACCCCTGGGGCCTGGAGGTTTTTGCAGCAACAGACACCTGCTGGGGTTGTGTTTAAGTTTTGTGGGTTTTCGTCTTTTCCTGTCTCTGTCTCTTGGTTTTTGGTACAGAACATGGCTGTCCTCAGACAGTCTCTGCTCTTTCTCTTAGTCCAAGATAGGCAAGGAAGGAGTGTTTAGGCGAGGGGATGCTGGGAGGCGCAGTCTGAGGTCGGGGAGGGTGGAATGTGAGATCCAGGTGGGTTTTGGGGTACAACATTGTTAAGGGAATGAGATGGGCAAAATCTGAGTTCCGATATTTGTCAAGACGCAGCGGGGAGCCATTGAAGGCCAAGGCCTTGAGCGCCAGGTTGGGCTCTGAGCTGCTGCCGTGGGCTGCCGACAGGGCCACGGTCTGCAGAGCCTGTGAGGCAGACATGACGGACAGCGGGGACAGGAGATTCCGGCTGCCGCCCACAACCAGCAGCGGGGCTCCAGGGCCGGCGGGCTCTCCCGAGGCTGGACTCGGGCCCTTCTTGTCCTCCTCGGGGCCGTCTCCACTCTGGTGCTTCTTCACATGGCGGCTGAAGACGAAAGGGTGTGTGGTCTTGAACAGGCACTCTCCGCAGCTGAAGGTCTGGCGGGGGGCGTGCTTCAGCTTCTTGTGCAGATTCAGATTGTCCTTGCGCTTGCAGCTGTAGCTGCACTGGTCACAGTGGAAGGGCCGCTCCCCGGTGTGCACGCGCACATGCTCGATGAGCTTGTTGGCCGTCTTGGACAGGTAGCCGCACTGGTCGCACTTGTAGTGGTTGCCCAGGCGATGCTCACGGGTGTGCGTCTCCAGCTCCAGCTGGTTGGCCTTCACTGTCTGGCAGATCCGGCACTTGTACTCCATCTTGTAGTGGGTCTTGAGGTGGCACTCCATGGCAGCAGGGCGGTTGGTGGAATAGATGCAGAACGGGCACCTGCCAGGGGAAGCAGTGCAAGGGAGGCTTAGCAAGGAGGGCCCACAGCAGCCCTTCGTCTTCCCTCCTCGCCAGCCTGCTCTGGGTCAGCCCCTGGGTCCCCCGGGCCTGGCCTGCTCAGCCCTGCCACCTCTCAGATGGCCTCGCTCGCTTCACTGCTGACAGTGCAGTCCAGGTTAACGGGAGCTCTGGGCGCTGCCACTCAGCTGGTCTGGGGCTCCAGGCCGCACCCACCAAGGGCGGCCCTCACAAAGGAGCAGAGACTTCGAGGAGCCGGCGAAGCGGATACTCCCCTCCTGCCCCCACCCAGCCCCTGGGGCCCCCTCCGCCCCCTCCCTCACTGGACATGGCAAAAGTCTGGTCTCCTGACCTCCCCTCTAGACGGGAGCAACACAAAGAACCGACTTTTCATGCACCACACCAAGCACACGCAGAGAGGCTGAGAGGTTTAAGAACAGCTTAGAGGGGACAGCTACCTCCAGCAAACGGGAAGTCACAGGAGTCAGAGTCGTGCTTATTAAAGGGGTGTCAGGATGAAAAGGCCAGTGTGGTGTGTGCGTGTATGCACGTGTGTGCACCAACATGTGGACTCTCAGAATGTCGCCTCCTAAAGCACCAGTTCGTTACAGGCCTTCACCTAGGAGGTGAGGACCGTGGCCGGGGCCTGGAAGAAGGAAGCCCACACAACAGCCCCTCCACTCATGAGGAGTGAGGAGGGCCGGGACTGCTCTCCAGAGCCTCAAGTCATTCTTAGGACATAGTCGTGTCATAAAAATACCAGGGGTCCAACTGGAGCGTGAACTCTCCGAGGGTAGGGCTTTTGGGGGTTTCATTCGCATTCTCCGTGGTGCTCACAAGAGCACCCAGGGCATTCTGACTCGTGATCTGAGCGTCTCTCCGGTAACGGAGGCAGATTCCGAAGGGGGTGGGGCAGCTCCAGCACTTCACTGGGCTCTAGCTGTCTCTTGTAGCACAGGGCCTGGCTATCTCTGGCTTGGACTCTCCATTCTCTCCAGCGTGGATTACGCTACTGCCAGCCCTGTCGCTGTGAGAGGGGCTGTGGAGAGTGCGGTGGCTGTGTTTACAAAAGCTGCCAGGCTTCACTTTTGGCAGCTGCCAGGTTGGAGTCTGTGGCTTAGAGGATAGCTGTAGCGTGTGTGCTCTTTCCAAAAACGAATGCAGAAGCCCGAGTGGCTGCCTCAGCTTGGACTCCACTCCTGCAAGGCAGGGCCTGGGGGTGGGGAGCTGTCCTCAGAGGGTTGGAGAGTGTTCAGCAGAGCCCAACGCAATCGGGTGCACCACGCACTGCCTCGTCAGCACCAAGCTCGCCCTCAGCCCTTGAGCCTCAGCTGACAGAAGAGTGCACAGAGATATAAAGCCCATTCCCAGGTCAGGTGCACACACAACCCCTACGCCAAGCTGGGCCTTACCTAGAGGAGTCTGAAACTCACCACTGTCCTGAGCTACGGCAAAAGAAAAATAATAGTATAATCTTATTCGATCTGCATTATGAACAGGATATAGAGTACAAGCAGCCCCATCACAGAGAAGCATTTAGACATCGGCGGTCTGTCTCATGTTAAGGATGTTTCTGTGACCCTTGACTCAGTCTGGATCTCACTGCTCGGGAGAAGCACCCAGGCTTTTCCATGCTCCCATTAGTCATCTTAAAGACACTTTCTCAGGAAAAGGAATTCTCTGATATGGCAAAAGCAACAAAACAAAACAAAACTCACTGTATAGCCAGAAGGCATTATCAGTTTTTCCCAAAGTATTCTTCTCCTTGGTTGTCCTAGAACATAAGCTATCATGGGGGCCGGTACGGTTAGCACTGACAGGCAGTGTCTGACCCAGGAGGAACAGTGTGACCATCGTGTGGTCTCCCCCAGTGCAGAGACGCAGGCCAGCTTAGGGTCCCAAAAGGTGAGTGATGAGGACACAAGTGGTGTGGGTGTGAATGAGCTACAGGAAGTCCCCATACTCCCCCCTCCACTGAAGGCAGATCTCTCCTTTTTAATGAAGATATGTAAATCTTTATAGAGGGACGGAGGGATTAAACTCCAACTCTCAGATTGCTTCTGCTATGATCCCATCTATCTGATCAATTATAAAATCACCCTCTTGTCTATGACCCTCCCCTACATACCCCCAAGGATACAGCAAAACAAAACAGAATCTGCAGTAGGTGCTATTCCCCAACTCTTCTGGATTTGTTGTTGTTGTTCTTGTTGTTGTTTTCCCGCAAAGGGTGCCCTAACCAGCCAGTCCCACTCCGCCCCCAATCTTCTGCTCCGGGTCTCTCTGGGTTCTCTAACTCTTACCAATTTAGGAGGCACTGTGAGTTTCAAGGATAAGAATGTTTTAAAATCCAATACCCCTTCTCCTGCTTATATTAAGAAAATAAAAGGAAGAGTGTTCCTCCCCCATTCTATTAACTACGTGGTGATTTCAAGTAACAATGCCTTGACAATTGTGTCTTTCTGTCCCCAACTACTACATGCTCCTGTCTCTTTACTGCACCCAAAGTGCCTTGTGATCGGGGACTCTGCTTCCGGAATCACTGGGAGATTAGACTCTGGTAGTGCTGGGACATACATTTCCTAAAGTGGAAATGATATTTTATTCTTCATGTGCCCTTTAGCACCTATAGTCAGGCTAGCCACATGGCACGCCTGGTACTGACGGGTCTCACTGGAGGCCTGAGGCCTTGCTGCAAGCACTGCTTCAGCAGGATGCTCCCTGCGTACATCTTTTGGGAAGGTGTTGGCCTGTCTGGAGGAAGACAGAGCAGCTGCTGCTGTGTGAACAAGGCTGCCTTTTGGCTCATCAGACCAACACGGTTCTACTTTGGGGCCTGGGTGTCTATGGTACTGACAAGTTAAACACATGTCAGACCACCTGAAAGATGAGTGCGGTAACTTGTAGTGACGGCTGTGAAATGCCCGATACCTGGGGACACTGGCCTGGTATCCATGAAATCAAATCTGAACTCAACCCCAGCACTGCAGTCAGTATGAGTCTACTCTTCCCTGCTGTTTTTCCTTGCCATGAGCCTGGGGTACCTGTGAAGTGGCTTTTCCTGCTAATGTCTGTTGACTCCACTGGGGACAGCTGGAACCCCATCCAATCAGAGGCAGCAGATCTTTCTGACTAACGCCCCTCATACTAAGCTCCCCCATTCTGTGACCCCCCCAACACCTTCATGGGGGGTGGGGTAGGGCAGGGGAAAGGGACGCCTAATAACAACTCAATAAAAGATTCTGTACTTGCTTTCCTTACTTGAGCCCACCGGTGGGGACAGTGTGGCATTTCTTATGCTCCAGCAGCTGTTCGGGGGTCTTCATGAACTTGTGGCACACATCACACTCAAACATCCGGGTGATGAGGTGGATTTGTAGATGGCGCTCAAACATATTCTTCGTCTTGCAGACAAAGTTGCAAAAAACGCATTCGAACCCTGAAAGGACCGAAGCTGGGTGTAGGAGTGTGTGGGGAAGAACAGGCAGGCAGGCACAGGCAGCTGCCTTCCAGCCAACCCTGCACCTGGCAACACAGGAGCTTTCCAGTCACCATCCCCTACAGCGCTGCGCTAAACACAGTTGAAGAGACAGCCTCAGTGTCCGTGCCCCTCCCTGTCTTCCCACCCCAGATCTGAGCACAAACCAAGCCAAAGCCAAGGGCTAACTGTCTGTAGTGAGCACCATGATGCGGTTTGTTTTCTGCCCCAAGTTTGTTCTCAAGACTAGGTCACCCTGGAGTGGCAGCGCGAGCAGGCTGCGTCTACCTCCTCTCACCTTTCTCTGCCTTCTCCTCCGTGTTCAGTGTGGGCTGGCTCCCAGGCACCACAGAGATGACCAGCAAGTTGTTCCCACCCTTGTTTTTCTGGGAGCTGTCAGAGTCGTCTTTGCCATTGGCTGAATCGCTCAGCGTTGACAGCGAGGACGAGGAGGGGCTGTTTGACTCACTGGGGGTCTTCCTATCATCCCCTGGAAAATGAAAACAAGCCAGGTCTGTTATTCGGGAGGAGTTGAAACCTCTTAGAATGATGGCAGTTAAGGAAGGGATGTCACTTCCAGCTCCCACAGGTGCCCACTGGGAGCCTGATTCTAGTGCAGCCATGGTGAAGGCATGTGTGGAATGTTGGGCCCAGATATGTCTGTGGACATTTATTAAGCTCCTACAACAATTAAAATATGTCAACAGCAGTTAAGATGATCACATGTGTTCCTGAGTTCCAGGGTCTATGCTACATTTATTCTCACAAAGTTCCTAGGTCTCAGGCTGCAGCTCAGTATCCGAGAGTGGACTCAGCATGCCTGAGGCTCGGGTTCAGTCCGCAATGTGTGTACAACATACACATCTTAAAGGCACTGTTATCATCCCTGCTTCACAGAGAGGCAAACTTGGCCTCATTAGGTGTGATCACTGTACCGAGTTATTGACTATGTCCACACTCATCAGCACACGGTAGACGCTCCTTCAAAGCCAGGCACGGAGACGTCAGCAAGCCATTCAAGCCTGGCGTCAGGGGGGTTCAGCGTCTACTGCAGCCTGGCACTAGGGGTTAGATCTAATATTGCTACTGAAAGAGCTAAAACCCAGACCGAATCGAAGAACAATTTTTATAGCGTTGGGCATGAGGTGACGAAGTAGTTGCTCTCTGAGAGACAGGACAAAGGAGGCAAGTCCTACAATGGCTTAGCTTCCTGTCCTAAGATATGTCTAAGATATGTTGCAGGGCAGGAAGAGGGACATAGGAGGAGCCTGGTGGACTCTCCTTGGGAAGAGACACAGCCAGGGTCTGGGGAGGTCATGATGGACAGAGGCGGCAAAACACAGTATCAACAGGGAGCAAGAGCACAGAGAAAAGTGCCCAGAGACCTGCAGACGTCAGGAGGTCAAAGATCAGAGCAGGGGTGAGCAACTACCATGCCTAATGGGGAAAGGCCTCCTGAGAACTGAAGGCAGCACACGGGGCTGGCACTCGCCTAGGGCTGGCCCCACTGCTGTTTACAGCAGCGAGATCAGAACAATACAAAATCCATGGGCATCAGGAGGGAAACTGAGGAAGGACTTTTAAAAGGGGGCAATAATTATTCCTAAATAGATGAATATCTAGTGATCTACACCTGCCTATCAAATCACAGAAGATGCCGAAATATCAAGGCTTCCAAGTACCTATGACCTAACTAAAGGCCAACAATACTAATAGAAACAAAAGATACATAGCTGAACAGCCAGCATGATAAAATCACAATGTTTGGTTTTTAAATAAAGATTATCAAATATGAAAAGAAACATGAAAAACCAGCTCAAAATGGGAAGGAGAATCAACAATCAAAGCTAACCTAGAACAGGCAGTGTAGAGTTTTTAGTAGAGGACATTATATTTCAAATGTTCAAAGACGTAGTGAACACATGGAAGATGTGGAAAGGGGTCCAAATGACATTTCTACAGATGGAGACAGACAATAAGGGCCTCAAGAGAGGGTTACACAGCAGAGGACAGATCAGCATGCTGGAGAGTTTCATGTCAACGTGACGCAAGCCACAGTCATCTGAGAGGAGGGAGCCTCAATGAAGAAAACGCCTCTGCAGGATCTCACCGCAGGCCAGCCTGTGGAGCATCGTCATAATCAGGCATCAATGTGGGAGCTTGGCAGGGCCACCCTGAGCTGGTGCTCCTGGGTTCTGTAAGAAGGCAGGCTGAGCAAGCCATGGGAAGCAGGCCAGAGCAGCACCCCACCATGGCCTCTGCATCAGCGCCTGCCTCCAAGTTCCTGCTCTGTTTGAGTTCCTGTTCTGATGTCCTTTGATAAGGAATGGTGATTGGCAGTATAAGCCAAATAAACCCTTTCCTCCCCAACTTGTTTTTTTGGTTATGGTGTTTCATGGCAACAAGAGAATCCTTGTCTAAGACAATCAGTAAACCTCAAGTTATGGCTACAGGGAAGATCTAAAATGGGACAGGACAAAGAAGCCTCCCAAACGAAAAGAGCATCCGGGAACTGCAAGATACTCCAGGCAACTTCACCTGAGACTAACTGAGGTCCTGATTAGCTGACCAACACATAACTTTTCTTTTGTTTGTTTCTTTGGGACAAACAGCTCTGAGTTTGAGTCACTGTGCGCAGTCCTGGCTATCTGGAACTTGATCCATTCCTCAGGCTTGCCTCTAGCAGATCTCTGCTGCTTCTGCGTCCAGAGTGCTGGGTTCAAGGTGTGTAACACTCTGCCCAGCTAATCATTTTGGGGAGTTGTTTGAGACAGGGTTCCTCTGTGTAGCCCTAGCTGTCCTGGAATTCACTCTGTAGATCAGACTGGCCTTGAACTCAGAGAGCCACCTGCCTCTGCCTCCTGAGCTCTGGGATTAAAGGTGTGCACCACCACCACTTGGCTGACTACATATATATGTGTGTGTATATTTTTACTTTTGGGAAAATCAAGATGTTTCTAATGTGTGGAAAACAATAAAGCCCAGTATGTGAGAAGCTCAATGAATGCCAAGCACAAGAAACACAAAGAGCCAGGAACACACACCTATCACTCCAGCACTCAGAAAGTGAGGAAAGATTGTGAGGTCAATGTCAGTTTGGGCTGGATAGGAAGACCCTGTCTCAGAAAGAGGGCATCCACAGCTAGAGACCCAGGGGCACCTACCACTGAATTCCTCAAAACAAGGAAAGGAAAAAGTCTAGCTTGCCTTTCTGAGTGAGGATGGGTCATCTTACGCAGGTCCTCCTTCTAGCTCACCTTCTTTAGGTGTACAGATTTTAGTATGATTATCCTATATTACATGTCTAATATCCACTTATAAGTGAGTATTCTGCTTCTGGGATACCTCATTCAGGGTGATCTTTTCTAGTTCCCACCATTTGCCTGCAAATTTCATGATTTCCTTGCTTTTTTTTTTATTGCTGAGTAATATTCCATTGTGTAAAAGTACCACAATTTCTGTATCCATTCCTAAACTGAGGGACATCTGGGTTGTTTCCAGATTCTGGCTATTATGAATAAAGCTGTTACGAACATGGTTGAGCAGATGTCCTTGTTGTATACTTGAGCGTCTTTTGGATATATGCCTAGGAGTGGTATAGCTGGATCTTGAGGTAGTACTATTCCTAATTTTCTGAGGAAGCACCAGATTGATTTCCAAAGTGGTTGTATAAGTTTACATTCCCACCAGCAATGGAAGAGGGTTCCCCTTTCTCCACAGCCTCTCCAGCATGTGTTGTCATTTGAATTTTTGATCTTAGCCATTCTGATGGGTGTAAGGTGAAATCTCAGGGTCATTTTGATTTGCATTTCTCTGATGACTAAGGATGTTGAGCATTTCTTTAAGTGTTTCTCTGCCATTCAATATTCCTTTATTGATAATTCTCTGTTTAGCTCTGTATCCCATTTTTTAATTGGATTACTTAATTTGATGCTGTTTAACTTCTTGAGTTCTTTATATAATTTGGATATTAGCCCTCTGTCAGATATAGGGTTGGTGACTCATAGCCAAACTTTGGGTAGAGTAGAGGGAATCTTATGAAGGAAGGGGGAGATAGTAACACCTGGGGAGGACAGACAGGAGCTCCACAAGGAGAGTAACGAAACCAAAAAAATCTGAGCACAAGGGTCTTTTCTGAGACTGATACTCCAACCAAGGACCACTCATGGAGATAACCTAGAACTCCAGCACAGATGTAGCCCATGGCAGCTCAGTCTCCAAATGGGATCCCTAGTAAGGGGAACAGGGACTGTCTCTGACATGAACTCAGTGGCTGGCTCTTTGATCACTTCCCCTGAGGGGAGAGCAGCCTTACCAGGCCACAGAGGAAGACAATGCAGCCAGTCCTGGTAAGATCTGATAGACTAGGGTCAGATGGAAGGGGAGGAGGACCTCCCCGAAGTGGACTTGGGGAGGTGCATGGGAGGAGAAAAGGAAGGGAGGGGAGTGTTGGGAGGGGAAGAGAGAGGGGGCCACAGCTTGAATACAAAGTGAATAAATAAAAAAAAATTAATAAATTAAATTAAAAAAATCCAAAAGTTTAGTGTGATGTTATGCTTGTATACCAGCACTCAAGGGGCTAAATCAGGAGGACAGAAAGACTGAGCTCTATAGTGAGCTACTCTCTAAAATAAAATAAAATAGAAGAAAAGAAAAGGCAAGGAAAAAAACCAAAAGAAGAGCAAATTCCCAGAACGGTCATAGGAAAAAGGTCATACTATGTGGAACAGAAGTGAGAAAGACAGCAGGCTTTCCCATAGGAAGGAGTCATAGGAAAAGACACCAAGTAATATCTTTAAAGAAATGGAAGACTACCCACCTCAGATTTCAGACCCGGTGAAAATGTGTCATAAAAACGAAGCACAAACAAACAAAGTTGATATTAAAAAAGATGAAAGAACTCATCACCCACAGACTTGAATTCAAGACAAAGGAAGTCTTGTAGGTAGAGGGAAAAGGGCAGCAGACGCAGACAGGAACCAGCACATCAGAAGAAGTGCGGGCCAGGGTGCGTACAGGAGAAACCCACTTCTTACTTGGATGTCTTTGGAAGATAATGAAAGTATTGGCCCTTAACCCCTAATGACAGGGCTAGAGCCCATCTGTGAGGAGAAATCTAAAATCACCAGAAAGGTTAGGAGGGGAAGGTGGAAGTGGACCTTTGTGGCGTTTTGACATGAGGTGGTGTAGCCATGAGGCTCTATCTTGGACTACATGTCATGTAGTATGAATACTGGTTTAGACAACTTCACAGTAATTTAAGTTACTAATGCACAGATTTAGATCAGTGGACTAGGGCCCAAGTCAAGCCTCTCAAAGCAGTAGTATGGAAAGACAGCTCTCACTGTCAAACCATTAACTTCTAACCGGGGTCAGCAAATGATAGCCCGTGGAGTCATACTAGTAAATCGTGAAGTCACACTTGTAAATCACTTTTACTAAAACATGACCATTCACTTTTGTATTAGCTACCAGGACTTTCAAGTTCCGTCAGGTGGCAGAGCTGTGTCAAAATAAGGACACAAGGGTAGGTGGGTAGGGAAGGCAGAAGGTAGATCTGGGAGGACCTGGCGAGGTGAATATGATCAAAACACAATGAAGTGCTCTAAGAATTCGTAAAATAAAAATGACAGAAATTGGAGGCCCGAGAGCCTGAAACGTTCGTTCACCACCTGGATGTCTGGAAACTGGCCCAAAGCGCCTCGACCTGAGAACAGTGTGACCGTCTCCTTCCAATAGCAGCTGCTGCCTGGGAGGCCTCGGCTGCATTAGGCAGAAACTTCTTCAATGAGTTTCCCTTGTGCCTTCTGGCCTACCAAGTGAGCCCGTTCTGCCAGCTAGTCTGGGAGCTCTGTCAGCTCAGAGGGACAGGGTCTGCCCCATGCCTCCTGTGGTCCTTAGGAGGTGTGTCTGTCCTGCTTAATTGTGAAGGTGAAGTCTCCTTCAAGGACAAGGTGGAGCCAAGCTAACTTCTTCCTGAGGTGAGTGGTGAAGGCTGTGGAGTCGGTGCAGAGGTGTTCAGGAACACACTGGGGTGAAAAGGGTTACACAAGTCAGAGTGGGACAGGAGAGAGGCTGGCCTTTCCCTCCGTTGGCCTTTCCAAAAATGCCCAATTTAACTTGTCTTCCATGTGGGCCTTCCAGCTTACCTGCTTCCCACAGTGCTAATGTGGTCAAGTCAGAAAACTGATTGTAAAAACGGCACCTTCTCACTCAGCATAATGACTCTCTGCGGACCTCCAAGTCAGAGCTGTTCAACTTACTGACAAAAACAAACTTTTATTGCTGTCGGCACCAGCAAGCCAAAGTGGCCAAAGAAGCAGGGATCCTTCTTGGACATGCACACTGCCAGCAAAACTGTCTGGGAGCTTCCCCTCCCTGGACCCTTCCAGAGCCAGGGATGTGATGGGCTGACCCATGGCCAGGACGGGCACTTAGCAACATCAGCTCTTAATTTGTAAGCACCACAACTGGGGGTGGGGGGAGGGGGCAGTCCCTCTCAATCTCGCTTAATGACTCCATGCTGCTGCCATTTGCAACCAATGCTTCAGAGGTGATTGCAGGGTGTGATTTTGTGAAATCAAAGCGTTACATCGTTACATCGTTGAATGGAAGAAGTTAACCAGAGTGTCAGGAAGCTCTAAGTGAAAGGCAAGCACTGGCCAGGCCCAGACAGGCTGGTTTTAGAAGCAGTCTAAACAGATACACCGTGCATTATTGGGGAGTGGCTAAGAGCCTACAAAATGAGGGGTACAGTGCCCTGGTGGCCTGCCAAGTGTCCTGCAGGACTGTAAGGACAGCGAGGGGACAGACAATTCCGTTCTGGGCTGAGGTTCTGAATCCAAACTCACTGCCCTTGTGTGGAACACGCCATCCCCCAGTGTCTCTCTGTGTTGTGTGACACCAGTGAAACCCACAGTAGAGGGTGGCTGCTGGCTGAGGTGAGCAGGTGAAGCCCAGCCCTGGCGGAGGAGCTCAGGGACTACTCCGTGTGGTGATGTGGGCCAGGGCTAGGTGAGGACTGCACGCGCAGCTCGGTGCATCTCAACAGTGACTATACTCTACGGCAAACTCCAGGCCCGTGCAGGCCATGACACTATGGCTACAGGGGCAATACAGCTCTGCTGCTCTGGGGGTGCCCCCGCTCCTGTGAAGGAGGGCATACTAAAGTCTCATAGGAGTGAGAACACTTCCAGCAAGCGCATGCTACTGTGGGGTGCAGGGGATGACTACCTGCATGCTTGGTGCCAATGTGATTCTTTATCTCTGCTTCCTCCATGGTGACAAAGTCACAGGCCGTGCAGCAGATGGAGAACATCCACTGCTCCTTGTCCACGTGGAGCGACATGTGGCTTACAAACTGGACATTGAGCTCGGTCTCAAATCCACACACATGGCAACTAAAGCAGGGAAGAAAAGGGAGAGAGGAGAGTGAGTCAGGCTTCTAAACGGGCTGCTTGGTTACACACAGCGCCTGTGAGAACATCAGCTTCGTGCGTGTTCTTTCTATCTCAAGGTATGGCGTCAGGAAATTCTTCTGCCTGCTGGGATGCCTCCAGAGTGGTCACTGTGCCAAACAGATGAGGTGCCAGCATGATAGAACGATCCCATAATGCTATAATGTTGCTAAATAATCATAAAGTTAATTACAAACTACAGACTCCAGATGCTGCACGTGTCCTAGCAGACACCCCTGGGCACAGAGATGCGGGACAGTGTTGCCAAGGTATTAGTGGTCTCTGACAGATCAGATGGTACACCTCCACTCCCCAGGCTCCGGAAGCCCTGGGGTGCAGTGAGGAGAGCACACACCGTTCCGTGGCACTCTGAGCAAGAGGCAGGCACATCTGTGAAAGCTCCCCGGGAGAAGAGTCACATCCACCCCAATGCCTTGCAAGGGCAACTTGCCACCAATACTGCTCCGGCAGGATTTGATAGATTTGGGGTTTCATACCGATTCAAGGTTGAATACAGAACAGAATGTAGTGTGTAATAACGGGCAACCAAGGGACAGCATGCAGGCCTTCTGAGCAACTGCCCGGGAGCAATCAGATCATGTCTTCTTGTCTTTTCCCCCACGATTCTTAGGCGCAGCAAGGCGCTCAGCCACAGCATGGGCTAACAGTCAGTCATCCTGGAGCCTGCCCTGCAGAACCACCTCCCAGATTGTTTCTCTTCTTAGGGCCACCTGAGCTAGACAGGAATCTGCAAATTCAGGGTTTAGTCTAAGCAAAGAGCACATTAAAATGAAGTCAGTGCATGACTGGGGAAGGGCGCGGTGGCCAGTGCTCTGGGCGGGGCCTGAGAAACTGGGGCCAGCTGCTCCCGCTTGACCCACCTGTAATAATAAGGATGTCTCTTCCCGTCCCCGCCTTCGGAAGTGACGGCACTGACGATGTCCTCAGCGTCGGTGCTCACCAGCTTCACGGAGTGCACGGTCAAGTGCTGGTTCAGATTCGCACGGCACTTAGCAGCATAGGGGCACAAGTGGCATTTGTACTTTCTTTCCTCTGGGGGAAAAACCAAAACTGCTCTCAACAATGAAAAAACCATTTCAAAAGCTCACTTAAAGGAGCCGATAAACGTTGGTCCAAGTCTCCCTTCATGGGCCAAAGGTCATGCCTTGAAATTGTACTAACGCGTGTCCCTAGCAGTTCGCTAATGTATCCATACTCAACTCACAAAGATAAAAAAGCTCTCTCTAGGCAGCCAAGACAACATTTCGAGGCTGAAGGGTGGGTTTTATGGTGCCCAGGTAAGCTAAGGAAGCTGGAAGCAGCACTGGCAGAGGCTGCCTGACAGCCCAGGCCGGAGTGCAGCGAGCTCTGAGGGCATTCCTCAGAGGGCATTTATTTTTCTTCTTGGAGAACTCGTCCTTCTCCCTCATCATGACGAGGTGAGCTCTTCAGGGGCTAACAGGAAGCCGTGTGAGTGTAGTTTGCCATCTGAGTGTGCCCCATGTGCCAAACTGCACCCTTTTCATCACAAGGTGTTTTCTGCACGTGTGTCATCCTGCGTCCCTCTTCAGACAAGGTTTGTTGGCTGCATGAGTGTGCCCCAGGTGTCCTTCGTGGGCAGGCGCGGAGTTGGAGAAAGCTAAGGAAATAAACACTGATATATCTGGAGCCTAAGAGGCTACGTCCTTTTTTCTCCCAGCCCCAGGCCTGGGCCAGCCAAGGAAGAAAAACTAATGAAATTAAAGGGGAAAAATGACTTGTATGAAATAATTTAATTGGAAAATTTCATTTTACATAAATAAAATTTAAAAATCTCAATTAATTTGTTAATGGAAATTGGCTCGTAAGCTGGCTAAGGTTTTAGGAGTGCTTCCAGAGTGGTGTTCTGAATTCATTTGACTAATCAGACAAATTGTAAGTCCAAGAAGCCTCTACTACAGATGACGATGGCAGAAAGATCGGGAACAGCCTCAGCTTCTATCCTGGTTCCTGGTCTTGGCTGAAGATACTTGTCTCATTTGCTTCACTAGGGAAGATGGGGCGTGGTGTTAAAAGTGTTTCCGGCACAAAATGCAAGACACTACGTTATGTTCCGCTGCCCCCACCCACTGACAGGCTCAGGCTGGGCCTGAAGCATGGGGCGCATGCTTAGAGTTCCTGCCTTTGTGTTGAGAGAGGAGGGTCTGGGTGTCAGCACCAAGGTTCCACTTTCTCCGTAAAACTACAGGGATGGTCCCTCTTTCTGTCCCCGGGATGGGGACGTCCCTCGTTCTGTCCCCTGTAAGGCTCCGGTAACGCTGGGTCTCCTCTTCTCAGAAGGTAGGAGCTATACAGTATGTCCTTCATCAGCTTCCCAGTTCCCCTTTGTGACTGATTTGTTCAAGCGCTTGTCTCGGTGCCACTTGGGTAAGTTTGCTTAATTATCTCTCAGCTAACTTCTATGCCAAAGAAGAATCATGAGCTGTCCTTATTCTCCAATAATTCCCTTCCCCCTTCTGAAACAGGGTCTCACTATGTAGACCAGGCTGTCCTCACACCCAGGGATCCACCTGCCTCTGCCTCCCAAGTGTGGGGAGCAAGTGTGTTCGCCACCACGCCTCCCTCCAGCAATTCTCCAGTGTCCTCTGGGGTTAGGCCCTTTTCCCCACCAGAGTGCCTGCTTTCCTGTCCTAACCCGCACAGCAGAGGCTGTGTGGAGCCAGGCACTCTATGACCCTTCGGCTGCTGAGTCTACTCCTTTTGTGCTGACCTGAACTGTAGGAGTCTTAGTTGTAGGTATAAAGTATTTTCATTCCTTTTAGATATCTGATACTTTAATTTTCTTTTTCTTCCCTTTTTAATTGATCCTAATTATCATTCTCAATAACTTGAGAATGATCATTCTCAGCAAATTCTCAGTAATACATCTAAGAATGCTTCAAGAATGAGGCCTTAAAATCCCCACTTCTTAAAAACATGTTATCTGTCGGATATGATGAAAATTTGAATTTAGTGGATTTAAAAAGATAAGGACAAAATTAATCTTGTCCTATTAATACTCTGTCTTTCTGTTTTTATTTTTGCATAACTGTACAACAACCTTTAAGACAAAGTTAAAGGCTTTTATATGCTGTATATAATAAGCATATATGTGTAATATATAATATATATATGATATATTATGATATAGATTATGTATCTTATACATATGTATTTGTTTTGGGACTAGGGTTGTCTCTATGTACCTACACTGAGCTCCAATTAGTGATCCTCCTGCCTCAGCCTCCCAAATGCTATTACAGACATGTTTCACTATATCTGGCTTATATCACATTGATATATCGGGATGCTTTAAAGCCTGACTTTCGGTGTCAGGTTTCAAAACAGTCGAGTGTATTTTCTTTGGTGCTGGGGATGGAACCCTGGTCTCATCTGTGCGCCAGCCTGTCACCTGTGTCGGCTGTCACCTACATCTGTGATATCACGTGACCTCTGCTGCCTTGGCTTACTTCTGCTGACTACATTAATCTCTGCTTTCTTTGCTTCTTGTGACTTAGGTCCCCCTCATTCTGACCCCTGGAACTGACCATCTGCTGCCCATTTTTACATGTAAACTAAGAGAATCTCTATCTTCCTGACTATGGTGCTCCCTGGCCCCACAGCTCCTACAATCTTGAGGTGAAACCAGAGGAGTGTCTCTTAAGGGTTTCACCCAGCTTGCCTGTAACATCGTTCTTTACATAAGCCTGCCTCACACTTAGCACTCACACTTAAAACCTAAATGAGAATCTTAATAAAAAGAAGGTGGGCTGCAGCTCCAACTCCTGAACCCTGAAGAGGACATGCATCCATTCCTTACAGAGCTCAGGAGCTGACTCGGAGGCACTGAAGTGCGGACCGCTTCTCCGATGCCCTCTGGGAAGTCAATGAGGCTTTTCAATAGAGAAAAGCTTTTCCAGGGTCTCATTTCGATGTGCCAGGCAGCAAGGCCTGTACAGGTCAGAACTGGTCAAGTTTCCACCACTTTCTGTAGCAATTCTCCTAAAGAAACTCAACTTCTTGCTAGTATAGAGGCCTGAGGTGGGAGTGGGGCTGTGGTAGTCTGCGGAGCTGGGTCCCCTACTCACCTGTGTGCAGTGAGAGGTGTCTAGACAATGTCTGCTGTCGGCCGAACACTTTTCCACACACATCGCAAGGAAAGAGCTGGTCACTGAACTTCCAGGACGGCAGTCCGTTTCCTGCCTCAAGGACAATCTTTTCTGTCTCTGTGCCAGGAGAAAGGGCATTATGAAGAGCACAGGCCAACAGGAATTCGTGGCCTTTTAGCCAAGCCTGAAGACTGCATCAGACGTGTGCCCTAGGAGTGTGGCTAGGAACCGCCACAAGAACCAGTGGCCAACTTCTCGCTCATCTCCGTCAGGGAAGATGGAAGGCGCCATGATGGCCAAGGGATCACAACAGCCACACAGCCACTGGGGCTTCAGTGGCCCCACTAACCACTAAAGGCATGCACACAGACAGGCAGGCAGGTAGAGGCTTGACAGCACTCTGCTCACTCTACAGAAGTACTCAATAAACACTGGAGTGAGTGAACAGTCGAGCTGCACGTTAATATTCTGGAAATGTAGATGCCGGCTAACAAAACAATAAACAAAATATTGGAAAATCCAGATTTCAAAATGAAAATAAATGGTTCCTGTCTGGAAAGAAATGCTTCCACTGCTCTTTAGGAAGGAAAGCTCTGCTCTCGAGTTCTGGGGTCTGCAACATGTTCAACCAGGGCCTCATCTAAAGCTGACTTAGAGAGGGCCTCCACACACGGCTCCTTGCACACGAGTCCCGACTGTGTGGTCTACACGTCTTAGTGCATCTGAGAAAATGGGTGCTCTGGAAGCAATCCATGCACTGGATTGCTGGTGGAGTAAGCGCACTTCAATATGTTCTTTTTGTAGCTTAGAAGATTTTCATTTCTCCTAATTGTCTATAGAATTTCCTTTTATCTTCTGACCCCTGCCTCTTCTCAATGACCCGCAATGGTCTATACAAATATCGCCTCTGCAGGCGTGTAAGAAGACAGGTAACAGAGGGGATGCCCAGAAGAGGGAAATGGGCACTTTCCAGGGACTGCTTGTCGGGGCCTCACTTTGAAGAATAAGATAGCACAGTCAGTGTTTGTCCTTGACCTGACCGAGTAGCTGTGGGTCTTCCTGGAGCACGGTGCTACATTACAGAATGGAATCTCATATAAATGTCACCAGGAGCATTCTATAAGATACAAGCAGAAGAAAGTGCTCTGACCGCTAGTCGGAGAGCCCCTGCAGAACTGCTTGATTTCACACACTAGACTGCTAGACTAACACCATTTTCCAGATACAAGCGTCCACCTCTATTTGGACACACCAACTGGATCAATGCACATTTGAATGAAGATTTGCCCAGCAATGTAATCTGGGGAAAGGAGAAACAAATAATGCAGATTTGGAAGGGAGAGCAGGAAAGAACCTGGGGAAACGGAGATGATGTTTGCTGTGCAGGTGCCTGCCAGCAATCCCAACACTGATGAACACATTGATCGATTGATCTGTTTGTTAAAATGTAGCTCTTGAGGCCTCAGGGAAGAGAAACTAGTTTGTGTCAAGCAGGAATGCCTGACTAAGGCTGTCTATAAAGCAAGGAGTGGAACTGCGGCAGGCAAGGCATGGTGGGAAGGTGAAGAGGGAGGTACGGGTCAGCGGGACATCTGAAGATAAGGACCACTCTTGGGAGACTGTCCTTAAGTCTGAGTGTGGGTATTTCAGCCACGCAGAGATGAGAGATGGTATTTTAAGTAGTTCCTTCCAAGTGTGTAATCAAACGGCACTTTCAGAAGGGTGGTCATGATAATAATAGGTGGAGGTCAAGATGGCAGACAGTTTTCTAATGCAGTCAAAATAAGTGAATTAAATGTGTCACAGATGCAGCACGTAGGTGCAATTAAAAATGAAGACGTCTCTTAACAATTCTTTTGAGTATTAGTCATACACTTGAGAGACTGAAGCACCATAAAGAATTCAGCTTCTTCCACAGCCTTAGAAGGCATGACAGCTTCGAGGACCTGAAGACTGAGCAGAGAAAGAGGCACCCAATATGTACCAGCCCCGGCCCTGAGCCCAGACTCTGGGCTCCCTGTCTGGGCATGGCTCCTAAACCCTCAGTGTTTGCATCTATAGTATGGTATTGTTTTCCTCTCCTGCGTGAGAGCAAGGCAATTCCAAGCCACAGGAGCCTTCACCCAGAACAAAACACAGCAATGCCTCCAGCTGGGGCTGAGGCTGGGGCTGGGGCTGCATGAAGGGAAAAGGAAGAGTCAGGACACCCTAAAGCCTTTGTTCACAAATTGGAAATGTAACTGTAGAGGCCACATATTTTGTAAGTCTTGCTACCAGTGTGAGACCTCAGTCATTTCTGGCGTCCTCCCTGCCCACCTGCTAATGCTAAACAGTCATCAAAAGTAGCCCATCCTACTTTAAAGACTGTTCCGGAACCCTACTTACTATCTTAACCAAGCAATCGTATTTCACCAAGATTTTGGAAAACTTTTCACAGTATTTTCGGCCAATTGCCCCTTTCCCTTCCATGTTTATCTTCGCATCCTCAGCATTCACACAGCACCCAAAGCGAGTGAATCACACACTACACTGAGACAGGGACTAAATATTATCCTGTCAGAATTAAATAAAATTGAACAGGGATTTCTCAGCATTAACCTATTGATTAGCACAATTAATTTAATAGCATAACTATTAAAGACAACTGACAATTCAGAGTGGAAGTGAGTATGTGCCTGTAAGGCTAATCTTGGTTGTCAATTTCATACACCAAGAAAGAGGGAGGCACAATGGAAGATCTGGCTCCATCAGACTGACGGGCAGGTCATGTCTGTGGAGCACTTTCTTGATTACCAACTGACACAGGAGGGCCCCACCCACCCCAAGTGGCACAATCCCTAGACATACATATGAGCCTGGGCTATATAGGTAAGCTAGATGAACACTGAGGCTGCGAGCAAGCCAGTAAGCAGTGAGTGTCCACAGCTTTTGCCTCAAGCGCTTTCCTTGACTCTCTTGGTTTTGCTCCCTTCCAGGACAGACTGTGACTGGTACACCAAACAACTCCCCACTCCACAAGCTGCTTTTGGTTACAGGGTCTGTCACGGCAACACAGAACATAGCAGAACAACGTTTTAACTACACTTAAGAGGTGTGCTCTTATGAATCTCTTAGTAGAAATGCTTGCAGTCCCAAGTCAAACTCCAAAGACTTTACAGCTTCCTAACTGCACCAAATCCCAGGCTGATTCTGGTTGAGACAATTTCTCTGGCAGACACGGATTACTGTTAACCCAACAGTCAGTCATAGTCAATGTGCCTTTCCTTTTCCTCTGCCCTCTCCCACTACGGAGGCAGTTGCTGTTGGCTAGAAGTTAAGAGTGCTACCTACCCAGTGATGATGAAAAGAAAGACACGCTTGAGTATTGGTTTTCTGTCTTCCATGCCTTGATAACAGAGATGACCTGGGGTGGTGGCAGATAGTTTGTGAACATAAAGCATGACGATGCAAGCCAACTTTCAAGCATGGAGAGAAAGAGTGATGGAAAGAAAAATCAGGGTCTTTGCTGGCATTTCCCAGTGGCCAAGTGAATGCCAGGAGTCACCTACCATTGGATTTCTTGTTTGGTGAAGAAAATAAGACCCTGGGCTTTTCTTTTCTTTCTTTCTTTTCTTTTCTTTCTTTCTTTCTTTCTTTCTTTCTTTCTTTCTTTCTTTCTTT